CCAGTCCACACTTCCTCAGTTTAGCTGTGGAATTTCTGTCAATTTTCTTTTACTAAGAATATAAATTAAGCCTAACAGAATGCTTAGAAGTTAGTAGTGTACCTAGCCGTTCTTTGCATAACATAAAAATAACTTTACATGCTTGGGCATTTAGTGTTGTTTTGTATTTGATATGCAGTAGTTATAATATGTTAAAATATTAATGAAGCAATGATGTAACTCTTGGAACTAAAATTATTTTTATATTCACAGATAGACCATTACTTTATAAAGGTTTTCCGGTAGATTGCAAAGATGGTTTAGATTTGATGCAGTACATACTTGCTGTGCTTTGATTTCTGTGAAGTAGCTTCATTTTAGAAGTAGTGCTTTCACTGCAGTACATAGAATATGTACTGCTACAAACAAGATTAAGCTGCTTTTCAGCTGTACTATGCGATCAAAGCTGCTCTGTTAATCAAGTGGGGGACTGATACTTCTCTGGTATAAGGAAGGGTTACAAGCACTAGAGAGGGAAGTAGAAGTACTGCTTAAACAGCTTCAAGATAATGAATCTGGTAGTCTGCTGGCAGTAGAATTGTTAAGAGTTCATATTTGCTCAGGCTTCAGAAGTATCGTAACACTACCATTAAAAATTCAGGGATTTTGGATTTTCATGCCTTTTTCATGTAACTGAGTTTCTTATGTGCTTCATCATATAATTGCATTAATTATTATATTATTAATATATATAGTATTATTAGATTAATAATTATATGTTTCAGGCTTTAAAAAAATGTCAGCTATCTATAAATTACTGATATGAAGATGCAACAGAGCCACCCAGTTAAGCAGAGAGCAAAAATTTAGTCCGTTCACTGTTGTGGTCTGTGGCGTGGAAGCAGTGGATAATCTTTACTTTGCCTGCTTTGTAACTAAGTTGGATATATTACACTTGCAGTCACTGCTGCAGAGTATATACATTCATGATGACATTTTCTGGGGATGCACTAGTGGTGTTGTTTCCTCTGTGCGTGTCTCTCTGACAGCTTAATGCAGAGTACAAGTGGCCTCTGTTCAATCAGAAAACAATTTGTTACTGACAAAGCTCAAAAAGCCTGATGTAGATATTGCATAGTAAAAATGTAAAGCCTTCTAGTCTGCAGAAATTAATGGGTGTCTGTTATTATATTGATAATGCTGGCAATATTATATCGTCACATATAGTGCTTTTAATATTTAGATTTATATCTTAAATATAAGTCTTAGGACAGATGCTTAATTAGTTGGTAGCTTTTTCTAGGTATATTAATAGGCTGTTGTGTAGAAACTTACACAGTGGGATTTAGCTGCTGAGATGATTTGGTTTTATGCTGAGATAAAAAAGGAATTCTATACATTAAGATTTTACCAAATCAAGGATTTGTATCTCAGAATATGTTAAAACTGTAAAATATTTATAAACCATCTGGAGTTTCATCAGTAAGTATCTCAGTGTACTTTGGAGACTGCAAATATGAAAAGACAAACTACCACATACCTGTGAAACAAAGTGCTCTGTAAATATAAATGTTGAAGCAGTTTAACACTACTGTAATGCTCTTGATAAGTTTCACGTTGTAATGATCTTTATAACCAGATGAGAAGTACAGAGAAGTTCCCCTTTCCGATCCTTTCCCCTTCCAAATGGGCGAGCCTCGGCTTCTTTTGGTTGTTTTTTTGTTAGATGAGCCTCAGAAGGAATCCTGCTGTCATGAAACACAGTTTCATAGCATGAGTTGATTTAAAAGGCATAAAAATAGCTTGTTTTCAACAGCTATTGAAGCTGCTGTTTAGTGCCCTGTCTTGAAAATTGTGTTAATATTTCCAAAAAGATCTTTAATAATTAGCAGATAAGTCTCCTTCAATAATTTTTAAATGCTGTAAATAGTCTCATTGTTATCTTCTAATTGTGCAAATACAATTTATTCGAAGAACTACTGATTTTTTCATTGATGTAAAATATATTAGAAATGTGTTACACATAATTTAAAAAAACCTTTCAAAAACATTGCTGAAGGGGAAGCAAATGGATAAGAGAAACTAAGCTTACCCAAGAGAGACATCCAGTGCACCACTAATCAGTCATGATTTTATCTCCTCCTTACAATTTTAAGTATTTCTCCATTGTCAAAATTAAATCCTACAAACACACAGTAATATTCCACCATGCACAAAAATTTAGATAGAAACTAGCTTTTGCAAGTTATTATTCCACTGAAATATCTTATATGCATTCCATTCTGCTTTTAGCTTGTTATACTGTCATTAATGTTGAAATGATTAATATTTAAAAATGCTTCCTGTGATACAGTCCATTCTTATGGATGTTAAAATAACCCAAACATGAATTCATGACTTCTATACCTTAATTCTCAGTTTGGATGAAGCTGAAACAAACTGCATTTAATCAGAGCTTTAATGACGTGAGTCATCATCATAGAAACAGAACTTCTAAATAATTTCAGTATCGATCCCAAATTTCCATCATAAAAAAATTGCTAGTTAACAAAACAAGACATATATAATGAACCCTAATAAATATTGGCTTAATTGTATGAAGAAAGCAATTGCCTTGTCTTATACCGTGATTTGGAATCTGTTAACCCTTCTTGAGTTACAGGAAGGGTTACCCTGGGTCACTGAGTGTAGCGTTTTTTGAGGGTTGGGTTTTGTTTGTGGTTTTTTGTGATGGTTTCCCTTTGTGGTTTTGTTTTTATTTGACAGTGACTGTTTTGTAGTAGTAGCCCAAATGAATTTATTTGAGTTTCAGATGAACACATCACACAAATACTCAGGGCAAAAGTTGCATATGGTATAAAATACCATCTGTCATAGAATATGTATGTTTATATACAGACTCTTCGTCCTCTATTGATGTGGTATGAGAAATTATTTTAATTAGGTATTTGAATAATATCATGGTTGTGTAATCTTTCTTTAAAGAAATCAAATACGCACAATTGTTCAGTTTAATCTTCCTGTTTAAAGGCAAAGGAAATGTGGAATATACTGGTTCAAATTAATGCTCCTGCTTTAGGACAAGGATGGAGACAGGGCCGTCCATCACGCAGCCTTCGGTGATGAGGGTGCTGTAATAGAGGTTTTGCACCGAGGCAGCGCCGATCTGAACGCTCGCAATAAGCGCAGGCAGACTCCACTTCATATTGCTGTCAACAAAGGTCATCTGCAGGTTGTGAAGACTTTACTGGACTTTGGCTGCCATCCTAGCCTCCAGGTAAAGTAAACATTATTGTAGATTCACTTTCTAGCTACTGAATTTTATGACTTGCTGTGTGTAGGTGATAGAAGAATTACGGAAAATGGGACTGAAAGGAATGGACCTTGTTGAAGTTGTGTCCCAACTTCTACTCAGCATGCGATCAGCTGAAATAAAAATGCTATTAAGTCTATTTATGTTTTTGACAGCTAGATAGGCACCTGATTTATTCTAGTCAGTTGATGTTAATTGGTATTTTCACAGACTGCAGTTATCTGTAATTGTTAACTCTCTCCAGATTAGTTCCTCCTCTACCAAATCCACAGCTGTTTGCTCCTTCTGCAAGCTACAGTTTTGCAATATTTGACTGATGATACTGTGAAATATTTTATTAAAATAAACCTTTTTTCGGAATTAACCTATCATTGATAGAACCATTTAGCCAGATTATTTTTTTAAATGTTCAGCCTTTTACCTAGAAAGCCCTCATGCACAGGGCCTCAAGTACCATAATTTCACAAGGACTTCTATCTGTAATGGATGTCGCAGAAGCTGGGACAAGTGAGTGCAACCCCCTGTTGGGAAGGTGGAGAAGAAATCTGCTATCAAATAAGCAGGCTTCCAAATTGTGCATGAGCTGAATGCAGCCGCATGCAGTGCGTTAGTAAACAAATCAGAATGGGTAAGTTTGAAGAGGTTTGCAAAAAGAAAGAAAAAGCTGTATGTCTTGGGCAAATCAAGATGTGCAGTAATAACACATTTACCTCCTTGTTTTGCCATGTCACTAATCAATGGGGGTTTTTTTAAGCTATATATCCACATAAAAGATGTGCAGATTTTCCTGAAATTAGTGAATACAATGACTGTTTGTTACCTGCTTCCACCTGGCTTTACCTTGCTGAGGTTTAGCTGTTAGCCAGCTAACATCCGTCCAGACCCTACTTAGCTGTTGTTGAACAGTAGATTTAGTAAGGCGTCTGTTGTGTTGAGCCCACTAAAGGATGACTGTGTATCATATAGTGAAGTGTGATATATGAGTAGCTGAAATGGATGTGTCTGACTTTATAGAATTCTGTTTGGATTGAAAATTTCAGTAGAATGGTGCTATGAAACCCCATGTGGAAAATATAATTGTCCTTGAGAATAATGAACTTTCAGATCCTGTGTGTGTGCTGAGGAACTCTAATGTGCAAATGTGAGTAGCCGACTGATTTGCTGGGTGAGAGCACAGGGGAGTCAGACTGAGGCATGACTGGAATTTAACTGGCCAGCACTCTACTACTCAAGCCACTGTGTAAACAGAACCGTATGTCAGTCTGTGAACAGTAAACTCAGGAAATACCATCAATTAAACCAGATAGAAGCTATATAATTTAGTTTTGGCAAACTGGTTCAAGTGTTTCCATTTGTATCACTTTTTATTTGGCAGGTTTTGATTCTCACTGTAAAGATTGTGAAGATTTGTTTTCTTATTAGTGTATTGCTAAAATATTAAGTTCCTGTGTTAGTCACTTTGCAGTTGAGTCACTGTCTGTGACAAAAGACTTCCTGACTTATATGGTGTTAGAATCTTACTGGAAGCATAAATCTAGAGGGTTTGCCTATATAGCAGCAAATAAGCTTAAATGGATGTGTTTTCTCACTGTTAGTCTAGGGCATTCCTTTTCAGTTCAACCATGTGGATCCTTAAATAAGTAATGTACAAAATGCTTTGAGAAATAAAAAGTATTTTTCCTTTATCTGGGATATATGAAAAATGTCAAGTGAAAAATATAAATTCTTTGCCTGTTCAATTATGTGCTGAAATATTTCAATGTACCTTATGTAATGTAATCTGGTATTAGCCATAACAAGCTTAAAATCTTAATATTGCTTAATATATTGCCAGACACTGGGCCTTCCTTCATGGATAATGAACTGCTTCAGTTAAAACAACAGATGTCCCTGAGTTTATTACTTGGACTGCATTTTATTTTGATTTGTTTATGCTTTTATTTCACACCGTCTTTCTGGTATTGTATGTTACACAGTTAATTGCTTGCTCAGTCTTAGCCTTCATCACTTAAAATTCCTTGTCTTCCCCCTGCCTGGCTGGTGTCCTTTGTGTCATGTTAGTTTTTGTTGCTGTCCTTCTGTTACTCATAAATTGCAACTTGGACATCAAATCCATCTGGATATGAGGCATAGAGAAGTTGATGTCTCCCCCAGTGTCTTCAGTCCTGTCAGGTGCAAGGCACGCTGGAGTTCTCATAGTGTAGTCCTGCAAGACTGGAGCCCTGGGTGGGATAACTCACTGAAGGGTTTGCAAGACCCAGAGCAAAATCAGAGGGCAGCTTACTCTGAACTTTACAGTCTAGCAGGACTTATAGGTCTGAAGAGCTGGTTTGTGTTTGTGTAGTCAGTTTTCCTAGGGATATTTAAGCATCTTTTTTCTTTAATGTGAATGCATATGAAAATTGATGTAAGCTGTTTCTGGTTTTAGGATTCTGAAGGTGACACTCCACTCCATGACGCAATCAGTAAGAAGCGTGATGACATCCTTGCTGTGTTGTTAGAAGCTGGAGCAGATGTTACTATCACCAATAACAATGGTTTTAATGCTCTTCACCATGCTGCACTAAGAGGAAACCCCAGGTAAAGTTTTCTTTTTAGAGATTATTTTATCATTTGTAAGAGGAAAACAAGTGTGTGCGAGGGTAGAATTATTATATTCTTCCAAAAGATCCTTAAACCTGCATGTAGTTATATTTCTTAAATATTTATGTTGCTTAGATATGCATCTTTCTAATACTTGGGAAGCCATTATTAGAATGAAGCTCCTAGTCTGCTCATTTTAATGCTCTTTTCAGGTAACTCCAGATTCCTGGGAAATACCACGTGATGGCTGTAAAATTTTGCCAATAAATGTTTTGATGAGTAAGTTAAGTAAGAACTTAAGACAGGATTTGTAAAAATGTTTCCCTTCTCGGATATTGGAATGAGGGAAGGATTTGAGTTTTTAAGAGATACATATTTGGGAATAATTATTAAAGATACCATGCAGTTACAAAGTGATCTTAGGATTGGTGCATTAAACTCTTATTTGTCAGTATAAGAACAACTAACTTTGTTTTCTTAGATGTATAGAAGGAATTTCTTATTTCGGCTTTTACAGAGCAGCTTATCCGCAGAAGTTAATTTTAAGGCATAATTTGTTTTGTGCTAGCTGTATACTATACATCGACATTCAGTATTTGATGAAGATAGCTTTCAAAAACTATAGTGCATAGATAAACCTCATGGAAAACTTGCTGCCTTGCTGGTTGCTTATTGTGTTGTGGATAAATGTATTCTTCAGAGCTGACAGTCTAGCAAGAGCTTAATATGGTAATTGTATAGTAGAGAATTTGGTATAGTTTACATGAAATATATGTGTGTGGTGTTTACTCAATTCTGCTGCTTTTCAGTTGAGTGGAATTGGACAAATAAGGGTGTATAAAGCTGTGGGAATAAAATCTGGATTAGTCTCTTAGAACACAGCTATCAAGGCTGATGGGATTTATATATGTATATGGAATGGAATCACACTTCACAGAGTAAAAGTAGTGGTTGGAAGTGTTGATAAGAGCAATAAATGTGTTTATGGTTTTCTGCAGTGCTCATAAAGGGTTTATAAGAGAACGTGTCAAGGACCTAGTGAGGGGAGCTTATTTTTGGCATTCAGGAGACAATTCTCTGAAGTCTGACTTGGTAACTTACTCACTTAATGTGAATTCTTCATATTTATGTGACAGCATTAGCCAGGGGTGCTGTTTCCTGTCTTCAGTTACCTAGATAGGGCATTTTTTGTTTGTTTGTTTCTTATTCGGTGATGCTTTCCTTAGGCTCTTGTGATTGTTGGTTTATGTGATCAAGGTCTCAATATGAGATGCAGGGAAAGTGTATGGAAAAGATCTCTTCATAGAGATCTTCATAAAAGATTTTTCAGTGGGTGAATGGTTTAGGAGCTGCAGGCTTTCTCTTTGATGCAGGGATACAAATTATAGTTCAGACTGGGTCAGTTTGGCGGTTGGCAGGATGTGAGGCATAGTGCAGTTTTTTCCCCAAGCCGTCTCTCCTTTACTTAAGCTTCTAATGGAAGAGTGGGAAAATATTTCCAGTATTAGTGGTTTGAACGTTGTGTAGGTCATGCCCATGCATGGGTTTTCACTTGCATCTGAAACAGGTAGATAGCTAATGCTGTTAGATATCTACTTTTTTTTGGTTGCAGTTATATCTGAGCACTTCTGAAGCAGGTAAAAAGAGAGGGTCTTATCTTCATCACAGAAGTAGTAGTTTTATTTGTTCACAGTATTAGATATTTTGCTCATCAACCTGAGGAGCAATTAATGAAAGTAAAAACAAAAGAAATCTGTTCTGAATAGGTGTTTGGTTTCTGTTTGGTTTTGGTTTTGGTTTTTTCCTGACCAAAAAATCATCATCATAATTTGATTTATTTAGGAGTTAAGTTTTATTTTCTTTAAGATTTTAGTGATCGTCGTTTATTTCATTGTGGATTCTGTAGTTCTGCCTCTGGGGTCCTTATGAATGAAACCAAAGGTTTTATACTTGCCACTTTGTTTTTCTAATCTCATCTAGAACAATGAATATTACTAACCTGTTAAATGCCCTAAGCACAAGCTATTTAAAACACAGTTAAAAATAACCACCTGAACTTCAGCTGGTATAGGTCACAAGTAGTACATAACATATTCTGTGTTAGACTTAATACTTAAGGACCTGTCTTTCCTAATCTGAGCTTTCCTGCTCGACCTAAACTCGAGTTTTTGTGGCTTCAAGCTGTGGTGCCTTACATGGAATACAGTGCTCTAAATTCCCCTTAAGGTCAAACATATAAAGAAATGTTACTTTATAAAAGTTAAACATATTCACGTATGTATGTAAGTGTGTGTATATATCTGCATTTATAAAAGTAAAATACTTACCATGTATGTAAGTATTGTTAAAGTCCACATCCATCTTGCTAGTTACTGATAATAAAATGAATGTATGTGTTAGGTATCTGGATGCCACAATGAAGTGAACTAGATTTCTATAGAGTTTTTTTTACAGTTGATATAAAATAGGTATTTGGAACTAATTTCATTTTCAGTACAAAACTTACCTGCCTCTTGCTTGAGTTCTGACCTTTACTAACAGTAGGGAGAGAGATCTCCAAGAAAAAAAAAATCACATAAACTGTGCAGACGAAAACATTTGAAAGTTTTTTTTTGTATGAAAATTTGTATTTATATTCTATTTCAAACATTTGAATATTAGATAAATATTATAAGAAAAATAGCAATTTATGTCAACTAGCTTAGATATTTCTCAGCACTTAATCTTCCAGGACAGTTTGGTAGTGTTTTCTAGAAGTCAAAGTATAGCATGCTTTGGGTAGCATCCTATTATTAGTGGAATATTTATCCATTTAATAATTTGCTTCTGATGCGATTTGGTATAGAAATAGAACTTTTGGGTTTATGCCAGTGTGTAATGTTGAACTGTAGACTGGACATTACTCGGTTTATGTTGTAGGTGGCTTTAAACTTGTGCATGGGAGATAGGACTAAAAAGAAATATGAAACAAAGTGTGAGACGGTTAAGATTTTGTTTAATACGTGTTTTCTTGATCATGATTTTTAACGGAGTCAGTCATATTAAAAGTGCATTGATTTTGGACTTTCCTTCAAAGTACTGTGAACCTCAAAGCTTGGCAGACTTTGCCCTTTCAGTGTTAATGTGATTTTTCAGACAGACGAAAGGAGAGTGAAATTTGAAAATACTATACAGATTGGTTATTTTTTCCAAGTTATCAACTCTTGGTTATGTTTGATCTATTTGCATACCTGTGACTTCAGATTTTTGAGCTGAAGACATGACTGTGAAGTGTAGGCGTATTTTATATCCGTTGCCCCAGTTAGTTTAGATTTGCATTGTATCTTGTGAAGAGAGCTGTATTCACGCTGCAGCTAGCATCTTAAATAGACGCTGCTTTTTGAGCTGACCTGACTTTGCACATGCGTACCACTCATTCTTCAGAGCAATGAATTCTGCTGGACTTTAAATCAAAAAATCAAAGTGTTGGGGTAAGATACAGCAGTGTATGTTATCCGCCCAATAGCGAGGAGTATGCCACCTTTATGTTTATAAACTATCAAGTAGGAAATTGTGGTTTAAAGTGGAATTATACCTTTTCCCCCGTAGTTGTCCTCATTTAGTAGATCTCTCCCTGTTCTCAGACTTGCTGATGGTTTGAACTGGTTGGCAGTGGAATTCTTAACTGTTTTTAGCGATGCATTTGGGAGGTTGGGTTTCTCAGCTGTATGTTGTGTTAGTGGGTGTCACGAGGACTTTTGTGCTGTGTTGTTGTGAAGGTCCTCACAGAGACAAGTTGACGTAATCAGAGTTGTACAGTTATTTTCTAAACCAGTAAAAGTTATTGTTTTCCATTCATATTTGCACTTTAGACAGTAACTGTAGGTTGAAGCTTAGTTGAAGCTGAGTGCAAAAAAAGCATGCTCCTAAAACCTCTTATTAAAGTATTATTCAGAAAATGCTTTGAAAGAATACTTTTGTTCAAGTTGGTTTGGAGAAATTATATAATCTCTATGAGCAAACCTATAATTAGATGGCAGATTAGCCTGTAGCTGTTGAGGTCAGTGACAAATTTATTATCTTTAAATAGTAAATAATATGCCCAGCATGTACAAGATGGTGAATACAGTTCCTACCCCATGGAGTTCCCTCCCTTGTGCAATTGGAAAAAAAAAAAAAAAAGAGCAGGGAGGGTGGAAGGAAAAGAGGGGTGCCCAGAAAGTAGACCTGCCCTACATTAGCAGTACTATTCATGATTGCTTCCTTTTGATCATTTTTTTTTGTCAGTTCTGCTACAAAGGACAACAGACTTGAGGAAAAATACAAGAGACAATAAATAGTTGGAAAATGTGTTTATTTCACTGTTTGCCTATTTTTAAGTAAATGTTGTAAGAGAGAAATTTTCATTGAACACCAGTAGCTATACATTTGCAAATACAACCTTGAAATTTTGGAATACAGAATTTGCTACTCCTTGTTACCTCCCATCTTCAGGCTGCCTGGAATAACTGAGCTGAAATGCAGAGAGGACCTCAGGGTTACTCTGTGTGGACTTAGTGTCCAGTTTTAAAAATACAAGAAATCCTGTAGTGATCAATGCATAGCTACAGCTGGTTGAAGGGGACCAAATCCATTGAAGAGGTGATTTGGTTCCATTTTACCAGCTTTAGCAAAGCATTGGAATTCAGTAACACGTTTTTAAGAGCGTGAACAGTTCACAGAGAACATGTGGCTTGCTTCTGTGTTGTGCATTTTGTTTCTAGTCCGTGCGACTTTAAATTGCTTCACTAATGTGGAGACAGTGAAATGGAAAGCTGTGTACCAGAAAGGCCTGTACAGTATCCAGGTTTGCTCCTTCCTTGAATATTTCCTTGAGGCTCTTTGGATGAGTCTCAAATCAAAGTATGGTTACAGTTTTATCTTTTTTTTTTTTTTTTCCTGTCTGCAATAATGAAATTCTGAAGTAGTTACCAGAAGCTGTAGTCTTACAGTCTCTACTCGTGTAGAGATCCCTTGCC